CTGGGAATTGCCTGATATCACCTTCTCAGCCCTAAATTCTCACAACATCTTTGCACCTTGGGATTGGCTCAAAGATGAACTAGACACTGGGAGGGGGTTCAAAAGGAGCGGTTTAACGTAACTCTGCAGTGCGGGAATTTCAGATTCTGCCTGCACTCTCTCTGCTATCTGTCAGCGTTCCGATTAACACATCCAAAGAAATCAGAACTCCAAGGCAGGAATGTTCCTCAGAGAACATGTTTATTGGACACATCATATCAGCACAGTTAGTAAAAAACCAACTCTAAAAGTTTCCGCAGTTACCATGTAATTAAAAAAGTTTCCCTTCCCAGGTGTCACAGATCACATTGTCCAATCAAAGCAGTTGGTGGGCTCCCTTGACCACTTCTGCCTCCTCCTCCTGCCACCTATTGGGATGACCTTGGTTCTGATGGGAGATCTCTTTATTTTGTCTACGAGACGGTCTAGCTATTTCCCCGTCATCCTCCTTCTATAGTGTGTGGCAACTATGAAGCAGCAGAAGATGGCTTCAGCGAGGTTCAATTCAGAATTGATATGTCTTCCAATAAAAGTTCATTTTGAAATGCCATTTGTTTCAAGAGTTCTGCTTTCTTGAGAAGGTTGACAAAGCAGGACCTTACACATCTCCTGTTCTTTCATCCCTCTACCACCATTCTTTTTCAGCCCTACTGTTGTCTAACTTTTCTTTTTCTACTGTTGCCACCACAACTTTCTTTTAAACAGTTACTTTCCTAATACAGCAAGCACTGGATCCTAAGCATAGATCAGAAAGAAACATGGTTTCAGGTAATTTCACACTCAATACTATGTTCCTTACCCATCTGGTGGTTCTTCTTATTAATTATCTTGTTAGCATGTGAGATACATGCAACTGTTTGACAACTGGAACATTGTGAGATTGTGCTGTTCTCTGAGGCTCCTTTTCTTCTTACAGACATTTAATTGTAAACAGGAGTTTATACCCATCTTTCTGAGATTTTAAGCAATTCTCTAGTTTTTCATATGCGTCATCTATGTGGGGAACCTTTTTTCATGATTCTCCTTCTACTTACCCTATTTCTTCTTTACATTTTCTTTCTTCTGTAGAGTTTTGGTTTTTTTAAAATCACTTGATTTTCCCATAATATTTTCACTTGGATTTGTTAGGCTGTAATATCTTGTTCTTCTATTCATTTTTTTTTAAATCTTTAAACTAATTATTTAACTATAATGTATCTTCTTGAACTTCTGTGGACTTTAGCACTTAGTTGGATATTTTCTTTCTCTGTCTGTATTGGCTTTTCATTTACTTTACTTTACTTTCAAATGTCAGCAGAGATAAATTTCACTTTCCTTTTTCCTTTAGCATTGGGAATATTTTTTGTATGTTTCATCTTTCAAGATTGCCCAAAATTCAGTTAAATTTCTTCAGGCACCATATCCATCAAAATTAATCCATTAAATATTTTCTTTACTTTCATCACATAATCATGTGACTTACTGCTGATGTCGTATTTCGTTGGCCCTATACCTTTAGTTTAAATTATAATTTAAGAAGGAGTTCATGATTTTAGTTGAATAGAAAAATAAGATGTTATAACATAACAAACTTTCCCATGAATTATATAACATAACAAAATTCCCCATGAAAATATCATGGGAAGATCAAGTGATATAATACCAAGAAAGCCAAGATCGACTGGGAAAAGGAAAATATAAAAAAGAAATAGGATGAGTAGCCAGCACCAAGTCATGATTTTCTGACTCAATAGAGCTTTTCCATGCTTGATTGCAGAGTATACGGATAATCTGATTCCCATGTTGTCCATCTAATGATGTCAAAGATCAGAGACATTTTTAGGTTGTCAGAAGAAAGTATTTGATTAACAGATTAACAGATTAACAGAGTTGGAAGGGGCGTTATAGGCAGTGGTGGAATTCAGCCAGTTCGTACCACTTCAGGAGAACCGGTTGTGAACTTTCCAAACAGTTTGGTGAACTGGTTGTTAGAAGAAATCATTAGGGCAGAGAACCGGTTGTTAAATTATTTGAATCCCACCACTGGTTATAGGTCATCTAGTCCAACCCCCCCTCACTCAAGCAGGAGGCCCTACACCATTTCTGACAAGTGGCAGTTCCATATTTTCTTGAAAGTCTCAAGTGATGAAGCTCCCACAACTTCTGAAGGTCATTATATAAACATGTTTATATAACATATAAACATGTTTATTTAACATTTAATATAAGATTGTTGTATAAACATGGAATTTTCATGGGTGGACACTACTAGTCAGGCCCCTGCTTCGTTTGATATACTGAAGGCAAAATGTGATATTATTGTTGATGATATTGTACCTCCAGATGCATTGCTCACAAGAAGTGCTATGTACTCACAAAACATACTTCCCCTAGCCTTGTTCTAAAGACGTTAATTGGGTATCTAATTTGCTATTTAAGGTGTATCCAGAAATTCTGATTGATACACTTTCTCAAACTGTTTTTCCTCTTGGAAATGCAATTGCTAAACTGATTAAATTTCATATTCAAAAATATTAATATTTTAAAATAATAAATGGATCATTTTCTAATAACTGTCCTGAATTGTCATGTGATGAAGACAGAGATAAATGTTTTGAATTAATAAAACTAGCTTCTTCCTTTTTTACTTCATACTGTAAGGGGTGGATGGGTATACAAAGAAAAAGAGCATTTGCAACCGGATGCCATGGAGTGCTTGGTAAATCTTATTTCTGCAGAGAGTTACACAAATGCATTTAACTTGTTTATGGAACAAGTTTATCTTGTCAAAGCTATGAGTTATGTTGTTGAATTCCACTATAGCACACTGTGGCATTGAGAAACCAGATAACAAAGGAGCATGAGTAATACAAATCTCTTTTTTTTAAGAAAGACACTGCATTTCCTTCCTTCTCTCAACTTTTTTCTCCCTAGTAATATAATTCTTGAAAATGCTTCTGAAATAACTCCAGATTTCTAGGTGATTTCAAAGAGTCATGGCAGCAAGCTGAAAGTTCTTTATTCACTCAGCTAATGAAAACTTGCCAATTTGTGCTCAAATTGGAGAATTTGTAAGAATAAATAGCTCTGCTGGATAATATTTACTTGGGTACTCCAGGCAAACACCACCAAACACAAGGTCACAAAAACAATAACAATAACAACACAGTTCTTTCTTTTGACCACTTGGATATGGTGTTAAATTAAAAGTAAAAGTAAAATCATTCTCCATCAATCTGGTGTCAGGTTTCGCTGCTATCTTAAATAAACTTCATTTTCAAACACAAAGTTTCTAATGAATCCCTTTTTTTTTAATTTAAGAATAGAAAGAACGACATGCCGGACTTCATTTGCAGCCAAGATTGGCACCTCCTTCCACACCCCTCCCTTTCTGTTCTTCAACCCCAATGTCTCATTGGCCACTATGCAAATCCATCTCTTCGTCCCATTCCCTTTCTCTTCACAAAAATTCCCCCCTCCCTCTGTTGCCCAGGTAACTTTATCTGCTGAAGAGCCAGGAAGTAGGTGAAAGTTCATTCCAGCATTAATCAAGTCTTCCTGAGCCTTTTATGTCAGCGCTGGAAGAGATCACAATTTGGAATGCTGACATCCGGCCCCTCTCCCTTCACTTCTCTGACGTAACCTGCCCCATAGGAAAAACACAACAAGATAAGTATCATTGTCCCCTTCTTTGCTGCGAACTCCCCCCTCCCGGCTTTCCCGGGTGGTCTGCAGGATGGCCCCTCCCCCTGAAGGGTGGCACGGTCAAATTTCTCTTTCAACTCATCTATGGGGCTTTCGAGTGGCTTCCCTAGAATTTCTCGGCGCTTAGTTTGTTTTCTGGCTTGTTCCCATTCCCACAGCCAGGAAGCCCTGCCCAATTCACTCAGGGGTTTCCCTTCGTCTTTCACATTTGGAAAGGGAAATTCAGCCTCGGAGGCTTTTGGCACAGTCCCCGGGTACTTATCTGGCTCACGCTTCTTTGCTTGAAGTTCTGCCGATGGGGAAGGCGGGGAGAGTTGAGCCTTTGTACTTTCCAAACTGGCTGGGATCACAGCCGATTCTCCTCCTCTCATTGCTCGAAGTAGGCTTTCCTCCGAGAGCTTGCCTTCAGCCATAATATCAGGGGACAATCTCCAGTCTGACCAGACGTCTGGGAGGGAACGGGGCGATTTTGAATCAGCCAGCTTGGCTTTGGAGGAATCTTGGCTGTCTGTCAGGTTTCGCTGCTATCTTAAATAAACTTCATTTTCAAACACAAAGTTTCTAATGAATCCCTTTTTTTTAATTTAAGAATAGAAAGAACGACATGCTTGACTTCATTTGCAGCCAAGATTGGCACCTCCTTCCACACCCCTCCCTTTCCATTCTTCAACCCCAATGTCTCATTGGCCACTATGCAAATCCATCTCTTCATCCCATTCCCTTTCTCTTCACAAGAATTCCCCCCTCCCTCTGTTACCCAGGTAATTCTATCTGCTGAAGAGCCAGGAACTAGGTGAAAGTTCATTCCAGCATTAATCAAGTCTTCCTGAGCCTTTTATGTCAGTGCTGGAAGAGATCACAATTTGGAACGCTGACATCTGGTTTGCTCTTATATGGTCAATGGTTCACATGCTTGATCATTGGTGAAATCCAAATTTTTTTACTACCGTTTCTGTGGGTGGGGCTTGATGGGCTTGGTGTGGCTTGGTAGGTGACGCTTGGTGGGCGTGGCAGGGGAAGGATACTGCAAAATCTCCATTCCCACCCCACTCCTGGGGAAAAGATATTGCAAAACCTCCATTCTCACCCCACTCTGGGGCCAGCCAGAGGTGGCATTTGCCAGTTCTCCGAACTACTCAAAATTTCTGCTGCCGGTTCTCCAGAACCTGTCAGAACCTGCTGGATTTCTCCCCTGCGCTTGATTCATTGTGCTCTACTTTCTACTGATATGAGATTGTTTTCTTTCAGTGTGGTACTGAAGCAAATAAAAATAAAATATTTGTGGGACATCCAGATATTAAACTTTGAATGAATTCTATGGAACAACCTGATCTGAATCTCTGTGAATTCGAATATGTATAGGTACATATGTATATCACATTAAACAACTTAATCTTGCTAACCAAGTTTAGCCAATTCTAGTGTCTACGATTCACATATCTACACATACATATACATACATTCCTTTACTAGATTTACTAGATTCCCTTTAATCTCTGTGAATTCAAACATGTGTAGATATATCACTCAACTGAGTTTTGCCTAAGATGGGACTAAAACTCATGGTTTGTCAGTTTTTAGCCTGGTGCCTTAACCACTACATCAAACTGATTCACATAAAATATATGAAAATATATTCAAAAGTCTATAATTTAAGAAAGACAGTATTCAAAACAGAATGTTACCCTCTGCACGGTGAATGACCTTCCAGAGTTGTGTATTTGCAGTATCAAAAGAGCTGCAAAAATCCTGTTTGAACACAAGCTAGCTTCATTATCTGTTGGAATCACAGGCTTTTTAGTCAATATCATTTTATACGCAAACTCTCTTTGTGCTTTCTGAACTGGCAGCATCTAATTCCTTATACTTTCCCCCACTGGACCTGATCTCTTTACACACCTTTTGCCTGACATATTGACATCTGGGTGACCTGATCCTTCTGAATCTCAGTTTGGAAGCTTAATTCATGCAAACAAATTGTTCTTTCTGTGGATAGTTTAGAAAGTGATTTACTAGACCATCGGGGGAACAAAATGGATTGGTTAGGACACTTCAAATTGAAAGAACATTCTTATAACTTCCTCCCTTCTCAAATAAACTTTAGAGACTTATACTTAGCAACATGAATGTTGTATTTATTTCAAAAGTGAACTGCAAAAAATATAAAGACCTTTTCTATTTAACATTTACCCTTTTTTTTCTCCTCTAGAGAACATGGTTTCCTAGAAGTCCTTGGTCAGCAAAGCAAATCCATTGCCTTCAGGTACAATCATCTTCCATGTAATTTTTTTCTCCTGCACCCCTCAAAAAAACATAGTAACTGTTTTATTCTGAGAGGTATTGATTTCCTTTATTTATATTCTATTTTTGTTATTGTACTCACATGGCTTGATTTAAAAGAACACCTAGTTTAATAAGGAGCAACTTGGATATGCTGCATTGTAATTATTCAGAGAATATAACAGAACAGAATAGAATGCAGAATGCAGAATAACTTTATTTGGCCAAGTGAGATTAGACACACAAGGAATGAACAGTTAGCTAACCACACTCTCTTCCTAGTGCCTCCATCCCATTTCCCCCTCTATTTTTTTTTCTCTATCTATCCTCACTCCCAAGAATGTTGTGTGGATAGTGTCTAATCAAATTCATTTTATATTTGGTATTGTGTGTATGTTTCTCTATGTGGGGCCCTTTTAGAAGAATTTGTTGTCATCCAAATCTTTGCAACTCGGATCTGGTAGCTGTAACAAAGCAGCCAAGCATGTATATGGACATAGAATTAAATGTTTTTTCCAAACATGCTGATTATTCCTCTTTGTTTCTCAGTAGCAATTTTTTTCCAAATTTAGTAACTGCATTGGCATTAGAAGAAGCAAAGGGGAAAAGAAATAACAGAGGTTCCTTGGGAAGAGAGAAGTTGCAGAAGAACATCCTTCACCTATTTAAAATATTTAAATGCTGTCTTAAAATTATGTTCTTGGGTAGAATAACAACAATTAAAACAAATTATTTGAATTATTTATTTATGTATAACACATATGAGCAGGGTATAAGAGGCATCTAGTCAGATGCTACATGTCAGAAGTGGGCAACTTAAAATGCATATAGCTTTTGAACCTTCTCCACCTCTCTCTATTTTTTTTATTTATTTTCCTTTTTAGATCACTAGAACCTTCTGAGAACTAACTTTCATAATTAGAATATCTGAATAAAATGGCATGGTTTTTCTGCTATTCACCTGTATCATCATTAAGTATGATTAGATGGTTGCCATGCTGACTAGGTTCTGGTGATTACAAGAATGAGAAAGTGTTAATTTGCTGTCCTTGAAGGAACATTGGTTCTCTGAAATTCTGGGGCAGAGGCAAAATTTCAAGCCTTATTTCACTGGAGTCATTACTGCACCACTATATACTCCTGATGAATTCAGAAAGAAAGAAAGAAAGAAAGAGAGAGAGAGAGAGAGAGAAAGAGAGAGAGAGAGAGAAAGAAAGAAAGAAAGAAAGAAAGAAAGAAAGAAAGAGAGAGAGAGGGGGAGGGAGGGAGGGAGGTGAGGAAGGAAGGAAGGAAGGAAGGAAGGAAGGAAGGAAGGAAGGAAGGAAAAGTTGACCAGCAAGAAGACTGGCTTCTCTTGTTATAAACTGAAAACTGGAACAGATTAAAAATCCTGAGGAATTTTTCAAACACCTTCTATAATATGAAATTGACAGCAAACAGGCAGAAAACTGCATCACTGGGTATATATTTTTTTTCTTACTTTTTCTGGGAATTCTATAACCCATTTCACTGAGTGGAGATGTAAAAAACTACTAAAAGGAAATGTTGTTTCCTCCATCATTTCTTTAAATCAAGAATAAAAGTTTTAACATCTTTTCTCCAGTTTCAGCTACCTTTGACATCAAATATTTTTTCCTGGTTGTACTATCTGACCCATGATATGTCCATAATGACCAGTGATAATTCTACTACAATCAAGATTCTTCTCTCTCTCTTCTTTAGAGATTTATCATAATATTTTCTCAACTTGACCATTTTTTCTGTGACAATAGATGAGGAAACAGGAACCCTCTGAAGTATTTCTTTCTTTCAAAATTTATGTGACAGCCAGTTCCAGTAATATTAAACATTACTGAAACCAAAACAATTCAAGAATGCTTAAATTGGTAGAATGCATAGTTCAAAGCCCTAATTACATTCAAAATCTGTCTTGGAGAGTAAAATTATCCTTCCAATCTCTCCTCCCTCCAACTTGTTAAATATCTTAGTTGAATTCTGAGCCAAAATTTGCTCATTTGCACCTTTAACAATGCTGACACTGGAATCATGATGGCAGTTGGCACTTGGCTGTCTCTTGCAGTTCTTCTGTCTCAGTTCCATTAATTCACTCACTCATTTCTGTTTCTTCTTTGTTCCATTCAGGTATTTGGCTTGGTGTTCTGTCTGTCAGGAGTGTGGGTTGGATTGGGAAAAACTGATGGAGGTAGGGAACATTCTTAGCAGTTCGGTCTTTCTCATGAATCCCAAAGGACAAGATTGGTTTGTCATTGAATACCTTTCCCCATTATTATTCATCCATCCATCCATCCATCCATCCATCCATCCATCCATTCATTCATTCATTCCCCTGTGATCATTGCATCCTGTGCTATTTTCTTCTCAGACCATCTCATTCTTCATTTTTCCTTCTTTTATCTCCACAAGCTTGGCTGTATGGAGGTGATTCTATCTCCCATTTCTCCTATGGACTGCAGCAGTTTCATGTGGAGAATGAATTTACAACTATTCCAGATACTCCAACTAGCTATTTGGTTATGATGCAAAGTAAGGCCAGATGCATGAGGCCCTTACCAGGAATTATAGATATAAGGAAGCTTAGACTCATGGATAAAAGGTTACCAACCTGGGTGGGGGGGAGCACAAATGAGAGAGGCTGAAGCATAGCCTTGTGGTACTTTGAAGATTAACACATTTATGATTTCATAAGTCTGAGCTTTAGACCATGAAACCTTGTGGCATAATATATCACCTTTAAGGTTCCACAAATGGGAGCCCCTACTGTAATTCATTTTCAACTTTCATAGATTGTACAAATTTAATCCTAATTCCTAATAGACATCTGAAACTCTCCATCTTGTTGAAGGATCTCAGAAGAACTTTCTTAAAGTCATGGACTTTTGTGCAGTGGAGTTTCACATTCTTATTGGTACCTATTTCCATGGGGAACATTAATCTCACTTTGATTTATTTCGTTCTGTAATAGCAATAGGTAGAGCTTAGTAGTCAAAATAGCAGCTGGCTCTGGTTTTCTTTAATATTTAAAAAGCCTTTTGTCCATTTTTCACCATATCAGAGAACATTAATCAGGTAAGCCTGTTTATTTTAATCAAATCACCTGCTTACAGGCTGTAATTAAATATTTCATTATGAGCTCTTTCAGTGGAGATCTGCAGAATGATATATTTGGTCTGCTTTTCTTTTTTTGGATGTCTTCCATCACTTTTTTTTCTCTCAAGGTACAAATAAAAGGTGTTTAAAAATTCTTTGTGCTTGACAGAGAAAAAAGAAAGTCCCTAATATTACTTGAAATCCCACTGTTTTTGGTAATTATAAGATCCCCATGGTAAGACCAGATTGTGTCATTAACTAATTTAGTTTCATAAATTCTCACCTGTAGTTTGTAAATACATTCATCCATTGCAACATCTTTGCAAGAAGGAGGTATATAGGATGGAGTGGAGTGGGGAGTGTTCAGACATAAATTGAATGTTGGGGTTAAGGCAGTCTTGTACATTTTCTCTTACCTTATTTATAATTTTGATACATGAACACACCCAAAAGCAATAATGGATCCAATGCTTATGCCAAGAATAAAAAGTGGACATGGTAGCACAACCCACCAGGAGCTGCTGATATTCTATTTCTAGTAATTATGAAAGTAGATTATCAAGTTACTAAGGTTGTTGGTTAGAAGCACAATACTTAAAGCAAGCTTTTTAACCATTTATTTAATGGTACTACCGATATATTAAATAACGGTAGTAAAACTGGCGGGAGGCTCCACCCACTACCCCGGACGTCATCATCGGCATGCACAGAAACAAGGTGCACGCATAAGTGAAGTGAGCACACGTACGCGATCCCGTTGTGAACTGGCAGTAAAGGTAAGTAGAACCCACCGCTGGTGAGGATGAATAAAACCATTTGTGAAAGAGGCTACTGTTTCTGCATCATACCTATAGCACTCTAACTACATATAAGAGAAAAAAGAGAATATGTCTTTAAAATGTTAGTTTTAACCTTCTGCATATAAACATGTTGCAGTCCTGCAAATGATTGTAGTCTTTTCTAAATTCACATCTTGAAAATACCTAGACTACTGCATGCAGAGCTCAGATTGATGTAAAAGAAGTAAATTTTTTCAACAATGGAGGAATCTAAGACTGAATTTTTAATAGAGATGATTGACTAAGCTCCAGTGCAAAATATTCTACAGTTGAAGAGTCCTTGAAGAATTGAAGTACTGTAGGGTAAAGGGATTGTGGTCTCACTGCAATTTTCAGATGGAACTCCTCAAATTTGATAGATGACAATATTGCCTCTTCAGATGAGAGATGTTCACAGAATTGGTTCTTTCACTAATATCTCTAGGACACTGGTAATGTTTAGGGAAGAACATTGTATCAATCAAAAAGACAATATTGACAAGAGGCAAAGTGTCTTAAGGAGTGGACTCCTGAAAGCTTTAATAGTTGCATTCTGTTTTTCAGCACCTTGGACAGTGCTTATTTAACACAGCTAACAATTTCCCCTAAGAGCACTTTTTTGCTCATTGACAAAAATGGATTATTATTTGGTTTGTTACTCCATTACATTTTCAAAAGGTATACTGCCTGTATTGGCCCAGAAGCACTGTAGTGGATGAATTAGGTTGCTGAGTCAAAGAAAGAAGTTTCTAGTCCAGCTTCATAGTTCATATTTGGAGAACTCAGTTTTCTTGTTATCAGGAGTCTTTGATTTGGAACTAAGGATCTTTCGCATCTCAAAAATGTGAGAACGAATATAAGCGAACTATAAGTGAACTATAGTTCATTTATAATTTCTACCTCTTCTGCACCAGGACCTGTCTCTGTCTTACTTCTGGACTCAAGGATTGTGTTGATGAGGATATTTTCATATCCCCTTCTGACATATTCTCCTTTTTAACATATTCTCTGACTCCCTGGCCTCATCTCTTGAACATGGGGAGTCATATATTATGTAGTTTTACAGTCTAAGCATAGCCAATTCAGTGACTTATGGAAATGGAAAGGCATTGGAAATTTTTAAAGTAATGTCCACTACATCATCTGGAGAATATAAATAACTCCCTAGAGTGTGAATTGGCCATTCCTGTAGGCAGTTCCTCAACTCTTTAGACAGACTTGCAATGATTCTCAACAGTTGCTAGGTAGCTGTAACCGACCCCAACATTATCTGGGGAGTTTTGAAAAAGGCCCATGGAAAGATTTAAATCCTTTGAGAACAAAACAATAAAATCTGAACTTTTAAATGTTGTTTTAACATTTCAGGTCTTTTGAAGGGCCTTTTATTTCCTTACTTTTCTCTTGAATTACAATCCTCCCTGGATATATCACTGTGCTACAAATTTATTATACTTTCATATGACTTAACTTTCATTGTTCCTGCAAAAAAATTATTGGCGAACTGTTGTGCTGTGGAAGGATTGAGGATCTCCAACAGAAGTACATTAAAAGGACTGACTCCTAGCTAAAGTTCTCAAGATGAATATCACATATTCATCTTGAGTATCTATGAATATCTATGAAGAATAGAATACATTATATTTGCCATCTTTTATGTTTTATGCTTATATTTTATTGTAATTTCTTTGCTGGGTGGCTGTGAGTCATCCAATGTTGTTGACAGTCAGTCAGAATACAAGTTTAAATAAATTATCATTATGAGATTATAAACTTAAAATAAAAGTTAAATGAAGACCAAGCAACTATCTCCATATACTGCAAACATATATTTTATCTATGAGTCCTTTCCTCAGACTAACTGATTAACCCTGCCAGCATAATTGCAGTGAATATTCTCAATAGCCTGGGATTGCATACATGGCAATATGGCAATATGATTATGAGTTTCAGCATGTGAAGGAGGTTTTCATTATGTAATCCTCAGAATGGAGTTGTGTGATTTAATCAACCATTTTGGCAGAACTGCACTGGTAATCTTGTAATAACAGTGCGACTTGAATGCAATCAGAAATTATTACAGGCAATAATGTTTTCTTTGAAGTGAAATTTCACATTCACTACACTGAAGACTAATTTTTTAAGGTCATAAAGGACAATTATTAAATAAGAACTGAAATGGAAAAGCGCGTTCTTCCACCCCCTCCCATTTTTAAGTATTTCCTTGTTCAGTCTTTTTCACATTTGTTTCCTTTGTCAATGGACCTTTCATAGAAAACCTTTACTTAGCTAACTTGCTGAGTAAAATGAACAATGGCATTTACATCTGTGCTAGGAAACTCAAGGCTAAGCAAACTATTTAGGTAACACAAAATCCTCTTTATTAGCCTCATCAGACTGCAAGGTCTTTCTGTTACATTGTATTACTTCTATTATGAGAAAAAACTGAACAGGGAACATGTAATGAAAACTTCCAATGAGGATTCGTGGTGTGGGAGATTTCCATAAAGGAGCAAGAACAGAGAAAGAAATCAGACAGTGAAAATCTCTCCAGAAAAAGGGGAGATTGTGAGATTGCCCACTTGAACTCCAGAATTTCTCACAATGTAGTGTATATAGATATAAAGTTTCACCAAGTTTCTGTGAGACCTGCCCCAATCCTTTAGGCCCTTGGGTTCTTTTACTAAAGGTGTTGGTTGCAGTAAAATCAAGCCAGCTCTGAATTCTCCCATGGTTGCAAGATACAAAAAAGTTTCACCCACAGCCCATCCCTCCCCCTGTCACCAGTCCATTTCCAGCCAGCCAGAGCTCACCAAAATGTTTGAGATATTTGGGGGGTAATCCACATATATTTCAGGGAGCTTGGCCTTGGGATCCTGGTACTAACTGGATCCAGCTGTTCTGGTCTTTATCACCTATCATTCCACCCTCCTGATTTCCCATCACACACACACACAACTTTATTGCCCTTTCATCCTCCCCTCCCCTTCCAGCCTTTGATAGCAAGATGTCTGGGAGGCACCAAGCCGAATCAAGCAGAGTTGACAGTTTCATTTCTTGGTTGCATTCAGAAACCTTAACTTAACTGGGTTTTAACTTAACTGGGTACTTAACTGGCTTGTTGTTGGTTTTTTTTAGCTATTAGGAACATTTGCAACGACAAGTTTTAGAATGCCAGGTGACTTTCCTTCAATCCTTGGCAAAATAAAAGTTAGAAGCAGCTAAGGTTCCAGATGAATTTGAAATAAGATTTTGAAATTAATTATAAGAAGCCTTCCTTTGCTTTTGTTTTGAAGTCTTGAAAAAAATGATAGGGTGGATTGTGAGGTTTAGACACTAGATATAACCAGGAATAACTAAATATTATAATTAATGGAGAATGCTTAAATTTGTCTTAGGAATACAAAATGGAGCTACTTAGTTTTGATTGATTTAAATTTATTACTGATGGTCGATCAGCAAACTGTCCAGAAGTAGATTTGATTGGGGCAGCATATAAACCAAGTGAGGACATGATGACTCAGTGGTTTAGGCTGGATTTCAAGACTTGAACCAGGCACAATGGGGTGAGTTTATGTTACTTGCTCCAGCTCCTGCCAACCTAGCAGTTTGGAAACATGCAAATATAAGTAGACAAATAGGCACCACTTTGCTGGGAGGGTAATAGTGTGCCTTGGCGTATAGTCATGCTGGCCACATGACCACAGAAGCGACTTTGGACAATGTTGGTTCCCTTGGTTAAGAAAATGGAGATGAGCAATGCCCCCTAGAGTCGAACATGACAGGGAAAATATTTACCTTTATAAACCAAGTAAGTAAATAAATAAACAAACTCCAATTGGACCTCAAAAGAAAAAGGGCAGGTGAGAGGAGACAGATTTAACTGTCATATCTTTGATCTGTAAGGCACATTATTACAATAAGGACTGATACTAAAACCATGATAAATATGGGCCTAAATAAATATTTTCCCACCATGTCCTTATTTGCAAGGCAATTCCTTCTTCAAAAGTTCAGGGGGAATTCAAAAAGGGGAGTTACTAGGAAATTGCTTTTTCCTGCTAGGCAAAGAATTTGCAGATCGTTATTATCTAGTTAGGCATTTCAAGATAATATTGCATGCACATTTCTGCAATATGGCAAATTTTGTATCATCTCCCATTCTTCTATTGCATGTATAGACAGATTGTCAAAGCAACCAGAATTTGCAGGAAAGATAAATAATGGGGAAATCAGCAAGTCCAAGTGGCATTAATGTGTACTCCAGTGTCCCGGAGCCCCATAAGCTTAGCAGAAGTGATGCTACTTCATGCAAATGGATTTCTGAGTCACGTTTTATTTTCCCACAGTGCCTACAAATATAATTACTTTGGAGACCTTGGATTATTGTGGGAAATTAAAAAGGTAGGTCCTAGCCTTGGAGAGTTGCTGCCGCTACCACTGTTAATAGCTTTATAATACATTGAAAGAATACTATTAAGGTGCAGGTTCAAAGGGTAATAACAAATAACAAATATCTCCTTTGCAGGGACACCCTATAACACAGATGCAAATTCTTGTTTTGGAGAATCCTTCCTGTGGACTTAAATGTCTTTCTTAAGTTTTACAGGTTAGAATCAAAAACTTTGATTCAATTTGACTGAGTCTTCCAATAAATCTGCCCAGAAAATTGAATGACCTATTGATCTAAAGCATCACATCGGATCAAGTCAATTTGAATCAATTTGATGATTGCTTTATACATGGATTTTTTAAAAATCCAAATAAAATCAAGAGAATGATTCAAATAGTGGACCTAAGTAGAATTTGTTTTGATGCTTCATTGTGGAATGTTTTGCTTTGAAATGATTTACTATATTGAATAAAATCACAGAGGAGTTGCATATTGTTATAAAAGATAACTTTAAGGGGCTGATTGTGGATGGTAGTTATTATTCAAAAGTAGCAACATCAAAATCAAATGAAGAATGTTGGCTACATTCTGAAAAGCTTCAGAAAGGAATAGATGGGGAAAAACATTTTAATTTTTATTTGTTCTTCCTTATCTCCTCTTAGCCCACTATTATGCAAAAGAAGAAGAAGAAGAAGAAGAAGAAGAAGAAGAAGAGGAAGAGGAAGAGGAAGAGGAAGAGGAAGAGGAAGAGGAAGAGGAAGGAAGGAAGGAAGGAAGGAAGAAAGAAAGAAAGAAAGAAAGAAAGAAAGAAAGAAAGAGAAAGAAAAAGAAAAAGAAAAAAACCCTACTGGTTGCTGCTATCAGATGTTGTGGAAGTGAACAGATTTTAATTTGGGGCAGATTATTCAGATGGCTGCATCTGTTGTTTATATCATTTGATAAGCAGTCTGCTACAAATCAACAATAATGCGAGTTGGATGTTTGCTAGTTCAAATGACAGCAGATGCCTTGATAGGAGAATATTGAATAGCATACATCAACTTTTCTTTCTTTCTTTTTCTTTTTTTCTTTTTTTGACGTGATTTCTTGCTGTATCCTCTCTGCCATTGACAACAGATCTCCATAGAATGGGGAAAAATTGTTATTTTGTATAGAAGCTGCAATTTCTCTTCAACAAATTACAGCTGACAGTACTAATCAAATAATCTGTATGATTAGTCAGTTCAATTAAAAACATATGAACATAAAATATACAAATAGGATTCCTTCTACATCAACCAACATCTATTTAGTTCGGTATTCTTTTCTCCAATGTAGCTGAATATTTGCTTCTACAAATTCCAGAAACCTCTCCTGAAATATTTCTTCCCATATTAAATGTTATCGTTTTTATTTAGTTATACCATATATTCTATTCCCCTTCAGTTACTACAAAGGTAAGTTCCAATCCTAACTATAATGGATCACTGAATGGATCTTCATCTGAGTTTCTCCCCAACACACATCACTAAGTACAGATACTGAAAAATATGCAGAGAAGAACACAAACATCTTAATGTATGATAGGTACAACTCCATCAAAATATTTTGTTGTGTTTTCCCATTGAGAGAATGCAACAATCTGCACAGATATAACATCATTAAAGGAACAGAGACTTAAAGCTTGTTAGACAACATGATTTGTGCACTGCTTATCTAGGGCAAAGAAGTATGCCTGCCCATTAAGAATTAAATAATGCAGGTAGAATCACACAATGGCATACTATAGTTGGGTAATAATAAGATCTCTAGGTGAAACAGACAGAGTTACATTTTATTTTTATTTATTTATTTATTTAAATTTAATTTGTATACCGCCCTTCTCCCAAAAGGGACTCAGGGCGGTGAACAGCCAAAATTAAAATACATACAATACAAAAGTTAAGATAATTAAAAGAGATTAAATCAGTCAGTCTCCCAATTTAAAACCCCAAGTCTATAAAATTTAAAAATCCCATTAAAACCATTTAGGCTAGGCCGGCTTGCTGGAATAAATAAGTCTTCAGGGCCTTATGGAAGGTCCGGAGGTCCGGGATCAGTCGTATTCCAGGAGGTAGCTCATTCCACAGGGCGGGTGCCCCCACAGAGAAGGCTCTCCCCCTGGGGGCCTCCAGCTGAGATTGCTTGACCGACGGCACCCCGAGGAGGCCCTCTCTGTGAGAGCGTATTGGCCGGTGGGAGGTTATTGGTAGCAGCAGACGGTTTCGTAAGTACCCTGGCCCTAAGCCATGGAGTGCTTTAAAGATGAGAACCAACACCTTAAAGCACACCCGGAAGACCACCGGAAGCCAGTGTAGCTCGCGCAGGAGAGGTGATACATGGGAGTGCTACGTCACTCCCATAATCACCCACGCGGCCGCATTCTGGACCAGTTGGAGCCTCCAGGTGCTCCTCAAGGGGAGCCCCATGTAGAGAGTGTTGCAGTAGTCCAGGCAAGACGTGACGAGGGCATGGGTTACATCAGTTACATCAGACACCACACTGCCCACATACTTGTTAAACCTAAAAAAAAAAATCAGTATTCTGCTTGATTTGATGCTAGCATTTTAAAATTTTGATTTGGTGATAGCTTTTAGGCATGCTAAAGTATATAACACATACACTCATTTAAGATGAAGAAATATTTTTTGCACAATTCCTTAAAAATATGATTTTGATTAGTTGCATGCCATCACAAAAACATAATCAATAAAAGCAGAAATAATCTTGTTTAAATTTATTGTACCTTATTGTATTGTAGTTTAGAGAACTTTGAAAGTCCTGACAGTCTATGCATGCCTAATATAGAGTATGTCCCAATGAAATCTGTAAAACTTATTTGGAGGTTGCGATGAAGATATTCCTGGAAGACATATTGGTGTGTGAGGTATACATACAGACATGCACTTATATAATGGGAGAAAAGTGATTAGTAACAGAAAGTATGGAAAAAATAGAACTCCATCAACATTCTCCTCCAGTCGGGCACGGCAGTCAGGATGGGTGGTGACTTGGTAGAGTTGCTATTGGACCGGGTTAACTTAGGAAGTCCCTCCTCCTGCCTGCTGACTGACAGTTTTTCGACTCGGTCGAGTCAGGACCGGTCGTGTTTAGGGAGACTTCTGCAGCCCTAACCAAAAAAAAAAAAAAAAAGGCGAAAGACATCGGAAGGCAGAGAATCAAGCGAGGCGACTTCTCAGCTCAGCGTGGCAGCTTCTTAGCTCCGCTGTGCCTCGCTAGGTGGATTTGCCGGCTGGCGATCCACCTGCCACGCGCACGAGTTCGCTCCGTCGCGTCGGCCATTCTGCCCTGCAGCCGAGAGGAGCGCTAATTAGCATCGAGCGCCGGCTGCTAAATTATTGGCGCGAAGACTTCCCGCGCTATTCCAGTGCTTTGCCGGCTGGCTAGCACTCGGATTACCATTCGGCTTGCAACGGGAGCCTCTGGACGGCGGATCGAGGCTCATAGTAATAGCGGCGGCAACGGGAGCTCTAGAGACGGCACTGGCCTAATTAGTGCGTGAGCGGCCTCTGCTCTGGTTCGAAGTGCTACGACCGGCTGGCTAGCACTCTCCCTCGATTGCCCTGGCCTCTGCTCTGGTTCAAGTGCTACGACCGGCTGGCTAGCACTCTCCCTCTATTGACCTGACCATTTATCACCGTTTGGACGCAGTGAGTACAGGTGACTGTTGCGGCCTATTAAACTGTGAGGGAGCCTCCATTTTGTGTCATACTTGGAACCTTGCTTGTCCCAGCGGCCATTTTCTACAAGCCTCTATTATGGCTGATTCCATCACTAAGAAGGGCAGGAAGGGAAAACGCCATCACCATCAGCGTGATCCTGAAAAGGAAATTCCCTGTGACTCTCAGGCTAAGAAATCTAGACCGAGTACTTCTCAGGAACCTCCTAGGTCCAGGGATGAACAGAGGAGGCACAAGGCCATAGAAAAAGCATGTAATAAAGCAGCCTCTGCCCCTAAAGGGATTCCAGAGCCTACCTCAAATCCAGAGTCTCTTCAGGCTTCTTCTAGAGGCGAGGCCTTACCTCTATCCAACCCGATACCTCCCCTCTCACCAGATATCTCCGTTACAGGGGATTCCGGGGTACCTGACACTGCCACAGTCTTTCCTACTGAGCTTACTGGGGTAGGCCCCTCCCAAGGGGTTCACGACCCAAACGAGGTCTCTGGTGAATCGGAAGATCCTGAGCTGCAGGCCTCTCAGACTCATAAGCTGGATGTCACCCCTGCCTTAGCTCGGTTAATTGCTAATTCCATTCGACAAGGCATTGCCCAGGGGTTACAAGAGAGAGCATCATCTAAAGTTTCAGAATACTTAAGCCACCGAGCACCTTCAGTTAGCTCTCAACCCTTGCAGGCCTCTGCTCATGCTCCTGCCAGGGAAGCTTCCCCTTCTAGGGACAGTCAGGGATCCCTTTCGGGGGAGGAAGACCAGGCCATTATAGAAAATGATTTGTCGGAGGATGAGGGCTTGGAGCCTGATCAACCCTCCTTTGTCGGTTTGTTCCGGCCCCAGATGTTTAGATCTCTCTAGCACTAGGCACAGATCACCACTGGGCTTGGCCTTCCTGCAGCCTCTGACCAGCCTCAACCTGGGACTTCAACGTCTTCTTCCTCCTTATTTGAAGTGCCTACAGTGCAGACCGAGATAGTCCCAGCTCCTAAATTATTTACAGATGTTTTGCAGAGGCAGTGGAAGAATCCTAGTACAGGGCCAATCCCTAACAGCCTGGATAGACGCTTATTTAATATGGCGGCGGAGTATGCCTCTCTCTTACAGATCCCCTCCGTGGACGCCCCGGTGGCAGCTTTATGCTCTCCTTCGCCTTCTTCGGGTCCCGCTGAGGAGTCCCTACGTCCGGAGGAGAGGAAAGCGGAACGTACCCTCGTCAAGGGCCACCAAGCGGCTGCCTGGTCCGTCCAGGCTTCTTCCTCTGCATCGTTCTTTAACAGAGCGTCAATCCTATGGCTCAAACAATTGCAAGAGCGGATACCTGCCTCTGAGGTGAGAACACACCAAGATATTAACAAGATTCTGGCGGCAGTTGAGTATTCTGCGGACGCCACGTTGTCTGCAGCCAGGTTTTCGGCCAAGGCCATTGGCTCCGCGGTCACTTCTCGACGGCTGCTTTGGCTGAAATATTGGCAAGCCGACGTTCGTAGTAAATGGCGTCTGGCTTCAGCCCCGTATTCGTGTGACAAGCTCTTTGGCTCCGCTCTGGAGCCTCTCTTGATCGAGACCCGAGATCACCGGAAGATACTTCCAGCCATGTCACGAAGATCGGACGGTCGCTCATCGGGCTCCTTTCGTACGCAGTCCTTTCGAGCTTCGGACGTCGGTTATTCCCAGCAGAGGTCCCATCGTGCCTTCCAACAACGTGGGACCTTCCACCACGATGCTCAGGTCAGACAAGGCCCCAGATATCCCCCCAGGAGAGGTCAGAGGGGCGGTAGGGGCCGTCCCTTTCGACGGTCTCGTTAGTAGCCCTTCGCCAGGGGAACTTGGAGGTCGTCTGGCCCTCTTCTCCCAGGCCTGGGAGGAGACGGTTTCTGACGCATGGGTAAAAGATGTCATTAAATTCGGCCTTTCCCTAGAATTTTTGTCCCGTCCACCTAATAGGTTTATTCGTTGTCCAGTTTCCCTTGATAGCGCCAAAGGGCCCCTGGTCTCTGCGGCGATCCATCACTTGTTATCGATAAGAGCGATTGAACCAGTGCCTCCCTCCGAATTAGGGCAAGGGTTTTACTCTAGGTTATTTTTAGTTCAAAAAGCTTCGGGGGGTTGGCGTCCTATCCTGGACTTGAAATCCTTGAACCGGCATATAACTTACCGCCGGTTCAAGATGCACTCCTTGCAGTCAATTTTGCTTGGCATTCGGGAAGGGGATTTTTTATGTTCCGTGGATTTAACTGAAGCCTACCTCCACGTCCCTATCCTTCCCGCACACCGTAAATTCCTTAGATTTTGTTTCAACAATAAACATTACCAATATAGAGCCTTGCCCTTTGGGTTATCCTCGGCCCCAAGAGCCTTTACCAAAATAATGGCAGCCCTGATGGGTTATGTAGCTACGCTCCCTATTAGGGTGTCCTTTTACCTTGACAATGTTTTGATCTTATCGAGATCGTTGCAGCAAGCACAGTCTGACCTTTCTAGGACCCTGCAAATTCTCCAGGCTCATGGCTTTTCGGTAAATGTCGCTAAGAGCCATTTATCTCCTTCTACCCGGATCCTTCACCTGGGGGCGGTGATTGACACCTTGTCGTCGGAGGTATCTCTATCTCCGGACCGGGTCGATAGCCTTAGGGGTCTAGCTGGCCGAGTTCAGAGCCAAGGGTCTTCTTCTATCTTAGTTTTATCCCGGCTACTGGGAAAGATGGTTTCCACCTTTGGGATAGTCCCTTGGGCCCGTTTGCACAGTAGGGACTTACAATGGGCCCTGCTGCCCTTCCAACGCTCACACAGGGATTCTTCAACCACGACGCTGGTGCTCCCTCCCTCGGTGATTCGGTCTCTGTCCTGGTGGACGTCAGCTGCAATACTAAAGGGGTCCAGGTTCCGAGTACCGAGCCGTCTCCAGATCACAACGGACGCCAGCTTATCCGGCTGGGGAGCTCACCTGGGGCCCCACCTGGCCCAGGGTCTTTGGTCGGCACACGAGCGAAGGATGAACATCAATGTGCTAGAACTGCGGGCCATTTTTATGGCTCTAAAGGCCTTCGAAACCCGGGTACTACGTCGGGACGTCTTGATCTTAACCGACAATGTAACGGCCAAGGCGCACGTGAACCGCCTCGGGGGCACCCGCTCCAGAACTCTAATGAAGGAGGCTCGGAAACTAGGCCTCTGGGCGGAGGACCACTTGGCGTCAATACAAGCGGCCCATATCTCCGGAGTTCAGAATCGCACAGCCGACTCCCTGAGTCGGTCCCCAGTCGACCACTCAGAATGGTCCATCTCGCCTCGACTGTTTCAGGAAGTGGTCCACCGTTTCGGCCTCCCAATGGTGGATCTATTCGCCAGTGCCACCAACCACCAGCTACCTCGGTTCTTCTCCAGGTTTCCCTGTCCCGGGGCAGAGGCGGTAGATGCCCTGCGGAGTCCGTGGCCAGCCAATCAACTCCTTTATGCCTTTCCTCCAGTCAACCTGCTTCCCAGAGTGGTACAGAAGTTACTCCAGGAACGCGCAGAACTGATTCTCATCGCTCCTTCTTGGAACCGTCGCCCCTGGTTCGCAGATCTCAGATCTCTGTCAGTGGCGCCTCCTTGGCGGATACCAGACGAGCTGTTGGTTCTCAAACAGGGACAGCTGGAACATCCAGATCCGCTCTGGTACCGTCTCACCGCGTGGCGATTGAGCGGGAGTTTATGACAAGGCTTCCCCTTTCGGCCGGGGCTATTGCAACCATCCAGGCGGCTCGACGGGCCTCTACCACCCGCATTTATGAGGCTACCTGGCGGGCTTTCTCTCTGTGGTGTGGAAGGCAGCTTATCTCGCCGACATCTGCTTCAGTTCCCTGCGTCATCGAGTTCCTGCAGGAAGGCTTTGTGTCTGGCCTTTCTCCTAACACGCTTCGACGACAGGTAGCGGCACTTTCCACGGTCTTGTCCGGTTCCTCGTCTGATCCAATGTCACGGGATCCTCTGATTCGCCAGTTTCTCCGGGGCGCTACCAACATCCGCCCTCCGGCAATCCACCGCTACCCATCTTGGGATTTACCCAAGGTCCTCCGGGCTCTTACGGGTCCGCCGTTCGAGCCTCTACGGGACGTTTCTTTGAAATACCTTTCTTTCAAGGTCGCCTTTCTCGTGGCAGTCACCTCCGCACGTAGGATCTCTGAAATGGCAGCTCTGTCCATTCGTAAGGAGCTCTGTATCTTTCACCAGGATCGGGTGGTACTGAGATTGGATCCATCTTTCATCTCCAAAGTAAATTCTGTATTCCATCAAGCACAAGAGGTGGTGCTCCCGAATTTCTGCCCTAATCCTCGGCATCCTCTCGAAAAACGATGGCATACCCTTGACGTTCGTCGAGCATTAAAAGTGTATGTTTCCCGTACGGCGACGTTCCAGCGATCGGACGCCCTCTTCGTATCTTTCTTACCAGCTTCCTTGGGATCAAAAATCTCCTCTACCACCTTGGGTCGATGGATTCGGGCATGCATTTCGGCGGCATATGAGGCCTCGGATCTTCCAGTGCCACGCAGGATAACTGCTCATTCGACAAGAAGCACGGCCACTTCGGCAGCTTGGTCTACCAGGGCCTCCATTGAAGAGATTTGTCGGGCGGCTGCCTGGACATCGCCTTCACCTTTTGTTCGCCACTATCGCTTGGACACGTTTGCATCGGCGGATGCGGCCTTCGGACGTAGAGTCCTACAAGGGGTCCATTCAACCTCCTAACTTGGGACCGGCCTCCTCCCTCCCGACTGGACACATGGCTTTGGTATGTCCCATCCTGACTGCTGTGCCCGACTGGAGGAGAATGGGCATTGGTTCTTACCTGATACGCCTCTTCTCGGACTGTCGGGCACGGCAGTCAGCCCCGCCCTGCATGGGGAGCCCGGTCCCGGCACTTCTCTTCCGGGAGGGGGTTGGGGTCTTCTAATGTTGTTGGTTTCTCTCCCTAGACACGTCTTCCTGTGTTTACTCCCTCGTCTCAAAACTGTCAGTCAGCAGGCAGGAGGAGGGACTTCCTACTTTCTAAGTTAACCCGGTCCAATAGCAACTCTACCAAGTCACCACCCATCCTGACTGCCGTGCCCGACAGTCCAAGAAGAGGCGTATCAGGTAAGAACCAACGCCCATTCTAGTAAATTTATATAGAATTCTTTTGAATCCAAAAGCACTCACATAAACCCCACCAGCATCAGAGGAGTCACAGTTTTCACATTGTGCTTATGGACTTTGTGAATCCTTGTTAACTTTCTTTTGAAATAAGTTACTGAGCTTCATAGGTCCTTGATCAGAGTTAAGGGAGCCACTGCCTTCTTAGTCTCTCACGCTCCATATTCGTGACAATTACCCTGTTTGGATCTCTTTCTGGGAGCCACGGCAAACATTTATTATTACTTCTTCACAGCTTGTCATCTTCAAATTCTCACATCTGGATGAGAATCTTCAGTAATTTTCATGAACGTTTTGTGTGAAACAGAAGTAACTTGTATTTCTATTAGGAATGAAAAGTTATAATAATCATCAGTTCAAAAATGCTGAGCCATGCTGAGCCATGAGCAGATTCTAAATTCAAGATTCAGGTCTGCACTATGAATATTTGCAAGTGAACATATGGTAGAAATTTGGTATCACCTAAGGTCCACATATAACATTTCTGATTATTTATGAGATTTGTATGCAACTTCAAGATAGATGAATTGTAGGTGCTGAAAAGTTACCTTATCAGTGTATGATATGTACTTGCGTATAAGTGTTGTATTGTATTAAATTTTTGGGTCAATATTAAGAACAATAGATTTCTAGATTTTCCAAGCCCTGAATTCATTAAGCAAGTCCTGCTACCCAAAATATCCAAATCAAGATTCTGAGGAGTTGATTAGATAATTTTTCCCCATTTTAGCAGAAAGCTCAGAGATTGTGGAAAACATAATGTTGAATGAAAATGTGTTCAGCCAGTAGAACTCCATTATAGATGAGCATTTGAGGCAATCTGAATCCCATTTCACAAAGCAAAAAAGAGGTGGTCTCCAGCGAATTTGTATTTAAATGAGACTCAAACATCTGTGGTCTTGGCAGTTTTATATCCCACAAAGTTCCAGTTGAAAGCTTTGGGTGAAGAATGTGCTTACTGGAGCTAAATGCATAACAGAAGAAAACAGATTCCAAATTATATGCAGAAATAAGTGATGCTATTTTGCTGCTTTCTTTGGAGAATGTTAGTTATTACAGTGGATATGAAAATATGAAAATACATCTTAAAAATGGCCATTTTCAGTCCTATCCTTTTAGCATCTCCTTTGCTTTATGGATATTTGTCTACTTAACTGGATAGGTTTTCAATATTGTCACTCCATTTAGATCAGCTTCTTTTTTTTTTAATTTGATTTATATGCCACCCTTCTCAGGAGACTCAGGGAGGCTTAAAATGCGTTAAGCAATAGCCTTCATACTTTTGTATATTTATACAAAGTCAGCTTTGAATTGGTTGTTGTACAGATGTGAAAAAAGTCAAACTCTTTGAATTCCCAAAATTGTAGTCCCAAAACATGCAGAAAGACAAAGGCTTCATAGGCCATTCTAGACTAGGTCTACCATATGTTTGCACATAGGATTTGTAAGGTACTTCAGGTACCTTAGAACCAATCTGGCACTTTATAATGAGTGCCAGAAATCTGTATTGTACAAATCTGTCTCACAGGATTAGCTGAACTCTGAAATCCATCTGAGCATGCTGTAAAAGTTATTGATGTAGTCATCATGACTACAATATGTGGAAGTGAATAATTTAATGGGTTGTCAAGAGTTTTAATCTGCAATAACTTCCTTGTGGATTTTTTGGGGGTGTGTGTCTGTGTATGCATATGTATGTAATACATATGTGTGTGCATATGTATGTAATATGCATGTTGCCATTTGCAACAATAGAGAAGGAAACTTCCTATAAACTAGCCAACCACATTGCCATTAAGCATTCTGCACATTGTATTAAGTCAACTATGATCATTCTGTATTAATTACACACAACTGATTATACAGCCACATATTTGTTCTTTTAATAAGCACAGCTGTTTCCTGTCCAGATTTTGACTGGAGAAATTTTCCCATCCCTAATTTTGACATAGTACACTTGGAAAAAAGCAACAACAACTCCAGAGGGCTCTTTGGACACATGCTGTTTAATGCATTTTGACACATGGTGTGCTAGTAGACCTTTGTTTAGCCTTAAACAGTTCTTAATGACATTTCATTCCCTATTAGATATATCTTTGACTAATGCATTTATAATATAAATTTAGAGGAGCAGGAGGTAAAGTTTGGACATGGAACAAAGTTTGAATTATATTGTTGTGTACAAAGATTAAAGATATTGAGCACACTTGGTATTCTCTGAATGACAATTATTGTGATGGAGCAGAATGTTAGTTAGTTAGTTAGTTAGTTTATTATATTTATAGACCGCCCTTCTCCCGAGGGACTCAGGGCGGTGAACAGCCATGGTAAAAACAATATACAACAAAAATTAAAAGCTTATTAAAATAATTCAATCATTTGACCAAATTTAAAACATCCAACTAAAATCATTTTAAAACCCCATATCAAAACCCAATTTAAAAAACCTTTATCCTGTCAGACCAGCTTGCTGGAATAATAGGGTCTTCAGAGTGCGACGGAAGGCACAGAGGTCGGGGATCCTTTGTATGTCCAGGGGCAGTTCATTCCATAGGGCCGGGCCCCCCACAGAGAAGGCTCTCCCCCTGAGAGTCGCCAGCCTACACTGTTTGGCTGACGGCACCCTGAGGAGGCCCGCTTTGTGGGAGCGTATTGGTCGGTGGGAGGCAATTGGTGGCAGAATGCGGTCCTGTAGGTAACCAGGTCCTAAGCCATGGAGTGCTTTAAAGGTGGTAACCAACACCTTGAAGCGCACCCGGAAGACCACCGGGAGCCAGTGCAGCTTGCGCAAGATGGGTGTTACATGGGAGCGACGAGTTGCCCCCATTATTACTCGTGCAGCTGCATTCTGGACCAGCTGGAGCCTCCGGGTGCTCCTCAAGAGAAGCCCTATGTAGAGAGCATTACAATAGTCGGGCCGGGAAGTGACAAGGGCGTGAGTGACTGTGCGCAGGGCATCCTGATCCAGAAAGGGATGCAACTGGGAGATCAGGCAAACCTGATAAAAAGCCCCCCTGGCCACGGCCGTCATATGATCCTCCAAGGACAGCCGTGAGTCCAGGAGGATGCCCAAGTTGCGAACCCTCTCTGAGGAGGGTAAGAGCTCATCCCCAATAGTCAGTGATGGTGTCAGCTGGCTATATCAGGCTGTCGGGAGCCATAGCTACTCAGTCTTGGAGGGGTTGAGTCTGAGCCTGTTCCTCCCCATCCAGATCCGCACGGCCTCCAGGCAGTGGGACATCATGTCAAGGGCATCATTGGAGTGGCCTGGGGTTGAAATGTACAACTGCGTGTCATCGGAATACAGTTGACACTTCACCCCAAAGCCACGGATGATCTCACCCAGCGGCTTCCATAAATGTTAAACAGAAGGGGCGAGAGGACCGACCCTTGCGGCACCCTACAAGTGAGGAACCTCGAGGTCGACCTCTGCCCCCTCCATCAACACAAACTGCGTATGGTCAGAGAGGAAGGAGGAGAACCACCATAGCATGGTGCCCCCCACTCCCACCCCCTCTAGCCGACACAGCATGATACCATGATCGATGGTATCAAAAGCCGCTGAGAGATCTAGGAGGACCAGGACAGAGGAGCAACCCCTGTCCCGGGCCCTCCAGAGATCATCAACCAATGCGATCAATGCCGTTTCCGGGCTGTAACCCACCCTGAAGCCCAACTGGCATGGATTTAGATAGACAGCTTCATCCAGGTATCGAAGAAGTTGTCCCGCCACCACACTCTCAACAACCTTCGCCACGAAGCAGAGGTTGGAGACAGGACGATAGTTAGCTAATACAGTCGGGTCCAGGGAAGGCTTCTTGAGGAGGGGCCTCACCACCGCCTCTTTCAGGGCAGATGGGAAGACACCCTCACTCAATGAAGCATTGGTAATCTCCTGAAACCAGCCTCGTGTAACCTCCCGGGAGGCCAGCACCAACCAGGAGGGACACGGGTCCAGTAAACATGTGGTAGCATTAAGCCTCCCCAAAATCCTGTCCACATTCTCAGGAGTCACATGGTCAAACTCTTCCCAGGTGACACTCTCAAGACTCACCTCCGTCATCCCGTCCGAGGCTATCCAATTAGAGTCCAGGCTGGCCCGAATCTGAGCGATTTTATCATGCAGGAATTGTCCAAAATCCTCAGCTCTACCCTGCAAGGGATCCTCCCTCACTCCCACCCGTAGGAGAGAGGGGGTCACCCTAAACAGGGCGGCTGGGTGGTTCTCTGCAGATGCAATAAGAGTGGAAAAATAGTTGGATTTCGCCACTCTTATTGCCACTAGGTAGGTCTTGATATAAGACCTCACCAGTGTCCGGTCAGATTCGGTGTGGCTGGACCTCCAATTGCTCTCTAGGCATCTTTTCCAGCGCTTCATCTCCCTCAGCTCCTCGGAGAACCAAGGAGCTGGTTGAGATCGGCACCGAGTAAGAGGCCGCAAAGGCGCAACGTGTCCAAGGCTCCAGCAGCCGCCCTATCCCAGGCAGCCACCAGTTCCTCAGCCGAGTCGTGAGTCAGAGTCTCTGGGAATGGCCCAAGCTCCATCAGGAACTTCTCAGGGTCCATCAGGCGCCTGGGATGGAACCACCTGGTCGGCTCTGTCTCCCTGAGATGAGGGGAAGCGGTTCAAAAGTCTAGCTGAAGGAGCGAATGATCTGTCCATGACAAGGGCTTAATAACTAGGTCCCCTATTGTAAGATCATTCAACCACTGACCAGAGACAAAAATCAAGTCCAGTGTGTGTCCCCTGATGTGGGTGGGGTCATGAACTAACTGAGTCAGGTCCATGGCCATCATGGAAGCCATGAACTCCCGAGCTGCTTCTGATGTTTCACCAATGGATGGCAGGTTGAAATCCCCCATGACCAGAAGCCTGGGGGTATCCACCGCCTCCCCGG